TGTTAAGGTTTGTGTATTTATATGTTACTATTTCTCTTAATAGTACCGTACCTACCTTGATAGTTGTTATCACTGGTTTTGGCGTACGCGTGACTGCTGGATACAGTCGGAGAAGGCAAGGGACGAAACATCCTCAGTTTCTCGTTACCTATTTCGCTATTTAACAAAATTTTTAGCTTCGCGCGACTCTCAATATGCTCAATTCTCCCATATGAGGTAATCCGCCAAATAGTCGTAATTGATGTCAGCGGCGTCTGGCTACGCGACGGTCAACGAAGCGATACGCACAGTAAGTGAACCTGGACAATCGCAGGAAGGAAACATGAGCTTCTTGAGCTGAAACGGCGAAAAATCTATCGTTTCAACTTTACTTACGACATAATTACACGGTTTTAGTAAAAATTTTACTACGTAGCTAGCATTCTTTTTCCTAACAGATTATAAATTTTCGTTAAAAACATCAAAATACGGAGGCTATAGATTGCACTTTCGGGTCGCATTGCATCATAAATGAAAGTCTTAATGGACAGGAACCTCTCAGCGCACATATTGGGACCCGACACTGTTAGGACTGATGTACATAAGTTCTAATGGCTGGCCCACTCCACAATAATGCTCATTTACGCTTTTCCACGATAGTATCAAATACAACTGGCAAGCCCCGTGGTCTTCAGATGTTGTGGATGGAGCAAAGAAGATTCGGTCCAAATATTCCGTAGATAAAAGGGTGTGTACTTTAGTTTCAACAAGTTACTAATTGTTGCATATGCTAGAACGCCATCAGTGATTCCAATTGCACAAAGGTTTTCCAAACTACAGGTCATTATTCCTTATTAAAGCAATATCATCTATATCCCTACAGGAGAGCTAGTGGTGCAAACCAGACAGAGCCTCTGGAGAACTCTCGGAAACAAGAAAAGCCGCTTAATACAGGGATATTTCTTTACAGCATCGTTTCTAGGGTTAAACCCAGTCGAAGTGAAACCCAAAAAGACAAGGAAGACCGGGATGGCCATTTCTGGCTTATTATCGGTCATCAGCCTGTAATACCCAACAGCAGGTGTGGATCATAGAAGCTTAGAACACAGGATTATGGTCATTCAGTACAACAATCCACCATTACACCACGGACTCGTTGCGATCGGTAATATGATGGCAGTAGGGCGCTTACCGATCTAGTTACGGAACATGCTCGTCCCATTGTGCCTTGGAGCTCAATCTAGGGCATTCGCAGGCATTGGCATTGCGACTTTTGATATATGCCGAAGTGAAACCGACAAAGACAAGGGGTACCGGAATGTGGCCATTTCTGGCTTATTAGGCATCATCAGCCAGTCATACTCAATCCAGGGTGTGAACCAGCCAAGATTCGAAACCAGGACTTTCGTCATAGAGTACGACACTGTTCCATTGCGCAACGGACTCGTTGCGTTCCTCGGCTAATGACAGCTAATAAGCCAGAGATGACCATTCTGGTCTCCCTGGTCTTTGTCGGTTCCACTTCAATATATATCCCAAGTCACTAGA